AGCAGGAATACTTTCGTTTCTTGTTTCCCTATTAGATAACGTAGTGATGACTTTCCATCTCTCAATTTTTCATCAGATTTGTTTTATTGCCATATTCCCTGTTAATGCCATTTAAACTAGGGACCATAATTCAACTTCTAATGAACACAGGTGCATGGTGTCAGTGAGATCAACCAGATTTCACCAAGAAACAGGTTTCTCTGCACTTGGTGTTATAAACTGTTTCTTCACTCCCCGAAGTATTTAGTTCAGTACTTAAATCTGAAAAGAATAACATGAACCTCAGATAGCTTCCTCTAATGCAAAGGTACCAAAATTGATTTTACTCCACTTGGAATGCTGTAGTCATATATACTTTTAAGAGTGTCTCTGAAAAGAAATTTCCAAAACAGGCTGCGTATGACTTGGGAGAGTAGGGGGAAGGAATTATAAGGTTGCTTTCTGAATGAAGAAATGGTGGAAATAATTATACAGAAAAGGACTGTAGCTCCAGAGTTGTTATGGAAGCTTCTTAATATCCAGTTGTGATAAAATTGGAGGAGGAAAACTACATTTGCCATTAAACACTCCTCCTGGTGAATTCTTGTTAATTTAAAAGAATTCTGGTTTAGTTTTGAATAGATATATTGAAAATCATTATGATTTGAAGACTATTTATTAAATGTCATTTCAAGGGAAATATATTTTTCTTGGAAGGAGGAATACACATAATTACAGGAAAGTTATGATTCTTGTTTTCAGTCCTTATAACTTTTTTCACTGTAAAATTGCTGTTTCTGTTGGTTTTAATAACTAAAAACACCAGGAACTGATCTTACTGAGATTTTTATTGGACCTGTAATTCCTGACTGAGCAGAGCTTTCAAAAGTGTTTTTATGATGATGTGCAGAGTAAAGCAGACAGCATGTTACAAATTCTGTCTAAAATACTTACGAGTATGAATAAGCACTAAAAGGGGATAAACCCTAGCTTCTTTCCCAGAATCCTAGTTCTGATGTTTTTTTTTTTCCTGGAAACTAGGAAAGTAATGGCATGACATTGACATGACAATGGGTCGAGAAGATGATAGTTCATTAGCAACTGCCTTTGAGAGTGTTTTCTGCTGTGGCATATCTCTTCCTTGCAGATGTCATCTCAAGAGGAAGGTGTTAAGTTGAACACTTCTGGTCTTAGTCTTCTGTTCTTTCTCATCTGCAGCTTCCCCAGATAGGCAGTTCTACCTGGGGTCTAATCTATTTGTTTTCTTTATTTTTGTTTGTTTTTCCCCCTGTGTAATGAATGTAACAATTGGTTCTCAGGTGATGTTAAAGCAATTATTTAAAAAAAAAGTGGGAGGATGAGGAGGTGATACCACATGATATTTTCATGTAGTCGTCTATAGACTTAATGGAAAAATACAGATAATATATCTGTCAAGTGACAATTTTCATTGCAAAAGCTGAGTAGTATTTAGAATGTGTTTCACCAAGTGCACTTTGGTGTTGCAAAGACTTTGCACGGGAATATGGCATCTTTGACAGCACTTTCCTTATGTAAGTTTCCAAGTGAGAAAAAAATTTCACTTACAGGTTTTTTTCCTTCTATTAACTGAATTGCATGTAACTTCATTTCCTGTGGAAACGAAAGAAATGAAGACTGCAGTGGTCTGTGATCTACTTGCTGTGTATTTACTCTAGTTTTCTTGCCCCACATGGTTAATTCATCAACGCTGGTGGAAAAGGGAGAGAAACTCCTTAAAACCTGGGGAGGACAGTTTGAGCCTTACAACATGATTGATCAAGGTGTTTAACCTCTCCATTGAACTGTCTGGGACCTTCTCATTACACCTCTAGCATTTCCTTCCTTTAGGGGGTGCTAATAAGGTTCTAAATAAGGGGATTTGAACTTTTCATTTGAAGAGGAATTTTAATCGCAAATAATGAGACAATTGTGCTGAGTTCAAGTTTCTGTAATATTAAAGAAAGCACTGCAGGCTTAGTGAATTTGTAATGACAAAGCCTTTTCATCCTGTCTGTCTTCTATATTCCTAACTTGCCTGGGTGCTGACTTCTGTTTTAAGGCAATGTTTTCAGGTGGGGAAAAGGTAAGAGTGAAAGAGGAGAAAAAGACATTGGGGGGAAAAAGAAAAGCAAGGTAGAAAACCTTTTATGACTGGGACTTCAAACATGCTGCTCCGGGTTTTTTTGGGCGGGGGGCAGGAAGTATCTGCTGCCCTTCACTTTGAAAGCAAGGAGCTCACTTTCCTCCCTGAAGTAGTAGTTGATTTTCAGATTTTCATTAAACAGATAACTTAAGTTCAACAAAGCAGTTGCTTTTTTTTTTTTAATTACACTTATTAAAAAATAATGGATAAGGAATATGAAACTTTTCTCAGGAGCTCTGACTCAGGTTCTGGTTTTGGTAGGAGGAGAAGGGTTGGGTTTTTTTCTGAAATCTGAAGTTACTCTGCACTACCACAGTCAAACTGGAAAGGCCTATTTTCTTAACAATTTAATCTAAAACAGTTAAAGAAAAATACAGTGAATTCTTAAAAAGAGCAAGTTCCTATCAGTGTGTTTACAGTGGAAGTAGTTGCATGTGCCTATACATGCATTTTTGCCTTTTTTTTTTTTTAATTGGGGATGGAGGGAGATTGTGGGTATGGAAAGAGAACTTTACATTTTTTTTTTTTTCCTCCTTCATTTTGCAGGATACAGGACACCCCTGCACAGCCCGTGATCCAAACACCTGTCTCATGCCAGTATCTCCTCAGCATTTCATTGATCTCTTCAAATTTTGAGATGTTCGGTACCTGTTCTCCTGTGTTTTGTGGCCATTTCTGTGACGAGTCAGGCAGGATATGTTATGCTTTTTGTGCAATATATTTAAGTGTAATGTTTTGTTGTAGTTTAAAAAAAACAAAAAGATACGGGGGAGATGATCAGGTTTATTTGGGGTATTGTTTTTGTGCAGAAAATAGCTGAGGAGAAGGAGACATGTTAAGAAAATTTCTTTGTCAGGAAATCTGCAGTGGACTTCTTTTCAAGTCCAAGACAGACCATTTTTATCTCAACTTTAAATCCATTATTTTGACGCCTTAATAGTCAGTTAAAGTTATGCGGGGGAGTTTTGAAAATTTCATGGAAGAGTTAAACTACTCTTAGAGGGACCAAAGGAGGGGTGTTTTTTTGTTAATCCTTCTTTCTTTAAGCCACTGTTTTCAAAACATCTCCATATAATTTGCACTGTTTTAAAGAACAGGCCAATATTCTCTTGGAGTCTTAACACATCAGTTACCAAGGTGGCATTAGTCATTGTGAGCTAGTGGATAAAATATAGCTGTGGCTATATCTGTTGTTGAACCTATGAATGAAGGAAATCAACCAATCTTTGTACATACATTATGCAAAAATATTTATTTTTCTTAAGGACTTTATTAAACATATAACCTATCTCAGCACATCCTGCATAACTCAACAGACAGATCTGGGGCTACTGGAAAGTGATTTTCTTTGATGGTAGCTACAGCCTTCATTTATACTGTTTGGTATGTCTACAAATGCAACTGCATTAATTCATCTTCTAAGAAGAAGACATTATTGAAATTTAATGAGAATGGAGTTGCTTGTTTCTAGACTGGTACAGTGGCAGGACATTATACTACCAACGGAGGTTCTAACCTGACAAGTCTTTACAAGCTATGGGAAACACTGAAAGTCAGCCTGAGCTGAAGCACCTTCTGCCAAGTTAATCAGATAATAAATTCTCCAGGAAGCTATTTTCTTCTGTCCTGCAGAACAAAGTTAATTGCTTGGCTTAGGCAGGTAAAGGAAAAATTAGGGAAATTTTGGGTTTGTCAATGAAACTTAACAAATAATATGTAATGTACAGAAAAAATAAATCATGTACTATATTCTGCACTTGCTTGTTCTGAATCTAGTTTTGTACAGTGTAATAAATCATGTTTTTATCTATTATTCCTAGAAGTCTCTTGTGCATAGAGATGAATTAATTTTGTAAGATCTTTCTACAACCTGTTCTCTGTAGAAATTGGTAAGGGAATGAGAAGTATAAAAGCAGTCCAGGTGACATTGCTTTTCAGTAATTGATTGTATGAGCACTTTTTTAATAGGATAGCCAGACTGTTAATAGGCTGCACAAGAAGAGAAGAATATGTATTTCCTCAGGAGACAGTCTTATTGTGCTTTAACTTAAGGTTGGTGTATCACTGAAATTTATCCATTGAATTTTGATAGGCAGATTTTTCAGTGCAGTGTTTTGTAGGGTTTTTCTTTCTTTCAATTAAGGTGTCTGCTATGGTTATGGTAATGAGGAGGTGTGGAGCCAATGACACCCATCCTTCTTCCTGTTCATTCAGAACATTGCTGCAAGCCTCGCTTTCCCAGCCCAAGCACTGCTCTAGCCACTGGATTTATTAAGGAACCAGCAGCAATTCTGTAACAGCTTGCACCCCATGTACTGAACTAATGTAACGGTTGCAGGCTTGCTTTCCTGTCTATGTGACCAAAGTAACCTTGACAGTGGTTGGTGATGGCTGGCATCCATTAATCACTCCTTTAATATGGTTGCAGTTTTGCTGCCCTTCATAGACCTTCCTGTAAATATCTACATGGATGGTACATCCTTTCTTTGAGAGCTTTAAGGAAATGTTCTAAAGTCAGCATTTATTTTAATACTGTTTAATACCCATCATGCTGACTGAAGGTCTCTGGTCAGGGACTTGCAGCCAGCATGCAAGCTCTTCAGGGACACACCATTGCCTAGGAAGCTGCCCATTACTGAAAATGCAAAAAAATGTGAGAATCAGGGAAAGGTATTAAGAGAGCTGAGAGAGGTATCCCCTAGCCTCTAGATTGAGGAGGGAGAGAGGTGACTTATAACAGCTTGTAAGAAGTTAAAAAAAGGTTTGGAAAAGTCAGTATCTGTAATAACTAATTTTCAGTTCTCTTACAAATGTAAGGTGACAGGACTCAGGCTTAATCTTCCTTTCCCTTTCACCATTTGCTGTCTTGCTTTTTCTCCTGTAGCAAAAAGCCTTAGACAGGCTGGAGGATAGGTTCTGAGGCATTTTCCTGTGTAGGCTGTTAAGGATAACAAGGCCTTCCTGCTGCTTTGAGGTGGCAGTAGCCAAGGTGACAAGAAGCAGGACTCTAGCTTGTAGACCTGGACTACAATCACAGAACGGCTGAAGGTGGGAGGGATCTCTGCAGGGATGTCCCTGCTCAAGCAGGGCTAGCTAGAGCTGGTCATCTGGGAATGGGGCCAGGTGGCTTTTGAGTATCTCCAAGGAGACTCCACAACCTCTCTGGACAACCTGTGCTGGTGCTCAGTCACCCTCACAGTAACAAGAAGTGTTTCCTGATGTTCAGGTGACACTGCCTGTGTTTCAGTTTGTGCCCAGTGCCTCTGGTCCTGTCACTGGGCACCACTGAAAAGAGCCTGGGCTCTGCCCTCTTTCCACCCTCCCCTTGGGTATTTATAGACATGGATGAGATCCCCTGAGCCTTCTCTTCTCCAGGCTGAGCAGTCCCAGCTCTCCCAGCCTTTCTGCACAGGAGAGATGCTCCAGTCCCTTCATCAGCTGAATGGCCCTGTGCTGGACTCCCTCCAGTAAGTCCCCATCTCTCTTGCACTGAGGAGCCCAGAACCGGACACTACTCCAGGTGAGGCCTCACCAGTGGAGGGGAAGGATCACCTCCCTCCACGGGCAGGCAGCACTCCTCCTGAGGCAGCCTCGGGCACCAGTAACCTCACTTGTGACAAGGGCGCACTGCTTGGCTCGCCTTCCACTTGGTGTCCACCAGGGCCTACAAGTCCAAAAGCCAGTAAGGTGGCTTTTTAAACCTTTCTTCCAGCTTTTAAAAAAAAAAAAAAAAAAAAAGAAAAGAGACATGTGCATACATTCCCTGAGAAGCATTTCAGTTGCAGGACTATTAATTTTTTTTTTTTAAATCTTAAAGACTTTGAGTGCAGAATCACACTGTCATGAGCAGTGTTGCAAGCTTTTAACACTTGGCAAAACTGAGCTTTGGGAGTAGTTCCACAAGCTAATTATTCAGTGACTATATTTCTTAGACTAGGCAAATAACAGAGCTTGATTAAAAGTGACTACATGGTGTGAAGTTGTTGGATGGATAAGAGGATAGATTTTGTGTCACCTAAGCAAAAAGCTAAAGCGCTGATTTTGATAAATAGGGTTTGTGTCATGTTGCTTTTTTTTAAAAAAAAAAATCTCTCCATGAGATGGAAAGGGGAGAAGATTTTGCTTTCAGGATAACAAATCTTGTTAATACCTCACCTGTAGTAAGGAACATATCTCAACAACCTGAATTAATCTTGTTGCCCTTTACACCAGCACTTACTCATGTAACCTAAAGTGTTGTAACCCGTGGGAAGGGGTATGCCTTGAAATAAAAGCTCTGCTGTTTGGCCTCCTGTGTGCTGGCTGTCCTGTGCAAAGAAAGGCAGGCGCACTCTCCTACAGCAGAAAGCGTGCCTTGAAAATGTACCAAATCTCTACAGGTTTCTTTTGCTCTACAGTTTTTGTACCAAGACCTGGATCTGTTACGTACAGATTGTGCAGTGGCAGTGATAGAAAACCATGTTTTAACTGTGGCCCCCCCATGTGCTCACTTCACAATCTCAAGGAATGTGGGTTTTCTTGAATTCTAGTCCTGAAAAACAACACTGATTGGAAAGCAATCAAGACATCAGGTTAGCTCAGTTGGTTAGAGTGTGGTGCTAATAATGCCAAGTTCACAGGTTCAATCCCTGCTCACTGCAGGGGGGTTGGGCTAGATGATCTCTCAAGGTCCCTTCCAACCCAAAGCATTCTATGATTCTCTGCCACAGGCCACAAGGAACATGCTCCCATAGCATTCTCCTTGGGAAGCTGGCAGCTCATGGCTTTGATGGGCGTACTCTTTGCTGGATAAAAAACTGGTAGGGTGGCTGAGCCCAGAGAGCAGTGGTGAATGGAGTTAAGT